AGACTAACAATTCGTAGCTGCAAAGTACTCATCATTTGCAAGAGCATTCACTCCTCCTTGCTTATTTTTAAAACGAAGATACATAAATATTTTATGTAAATTATCTGTATATCTTCTATGGTAACGTGATCAAAAGGCAAAAGAGTAAGTACTTTTAGCCCAGACGCAGCCACGCCAATGATAGATCTGGTTAGCGTTCAGCATTGTTGTGCTATAAAAACCCACTTCTCTTTGTTATTATTATTTTATCTTGGACCAGTTAGGTGGGATTAAAAAAAAATCTACGGTTTTGCAATAAACACCCATGATTGCAAAACTTAAATTATTGGACAAGGGAGTTTGCCCTTGCAATCATGATTCTTCATTCAATGATCAATTTAGGTAGTTGGATAATAGTGCAAGATCATAAAACACTTTTTAAAAGAGTATCTTGTTTTATTGTTGAATTATTTTATATTGTATAATAAAAATCGGTTAGATTGGAGAGACATTCTTTTTGTATTAGAGAAAACTCTCTTCATATTAGATGGTTAATGTTTTATATTTCTAAATAGTTTATAAAACACTTTTTTGTTTTTTTAATAAAAAAAGCAAGTGAAGAACATTTAGTCTGTATTTGGTTTAATTATTCTTAATAGTTGTTAATAGTAATTGTTAATTGATAAGTAATAAAATATTTACTCTCTATTCATTTTTCATGTACCTAATTTAATTTTTTTGATTTTTTAAATATAAATTTCAAATGAAAATTTATCATATTATATAAATGATAATTCAAAATTTTTTTAATTAAATAAAAGTGCTCAACAAGAATTTTATATAAGAAGAAAAAACATTTTAATTGTTATTCATATAAGTTATTAAATTTTTATTTAAAACTCTTATTTAAAAAATAAAAAATCAAATTAGATCTACTAAAAATAAATAGAGGGAGTAGTATGTTTTAAATCAATTTATAAGTTGGTATTTTTCAACACTCAACCCCCAGCTATTTAAGTTTTTTTTTTTAAAAAAAAAAAGCTATAAATCCATAAAATCACTTAAAGCAGTCACACCCTTACTTTTAAACTTTAAAGTGAATATTGCAAGCCTGTATTCACGTGAAGAGAAAATTTAGTGGTCTGAACTTCCAATAAACCAAAAGCTGAAGGACTTCTTTTCTTAGACAAATAACAGAATTACAAAGGAAGAATACGATGGTTCCCTGATTGGTCGAACTGGCAAACTCAATCCTTCTTCCTTGTCTTCTCCGGCTCTCAGTCGCTCTCCGGTAATCTCCATTGATCACCTACATCCGCACTCGCGATATTAACGTAATCCGTACCATTCCGGCTGCATTAGACGAAGAAATTGAAAGCTTTGAAATTTTCAGAGGAAGATGATTCAGTTGTTGTTCACAGTGATATTCTCAGAGGCGGCAATGATCATGGTGCTGGTGTTCAAGACCCCGTTTAGGAAGCTGGTTATCATGGGTCTGGATCTCCTCAAGCGTGGTCGTGGCCCTGTTGTGGTGAAGACGGTGGCGGCAACGGTTTTTGTGGTGATGATGTCCAGCATTTTCAGCATGATAAAGATCCAGAAGCGTTGGATCGATGATGGTGCGGCCAATCCGACGGACCAGGTTCTCATGGCCAAGCACCTTCTTGAAGCCACTCTTATGGGTAATTAACATTTGGGGGTTTTATCCTTTTTGTTGAATACTTGAAATATTCAAACTAGTTGGCTCTTGATTCTTGAATTTGTGCTTCTGTTTGATTGGATGAAATTGGTACTTTTGAATGCAATGTAGGTTTTTCTTTTGATAAATTTCAGTTGTAGGATTTATTGAATTGATGGGAACTTCATAGGATCTTTCAAATTTGTTATCTTTTAATTTGTCTGAGTATGTTGTTTAAAGTTTCAGCTTTGATGATGTAATTGAGAGTTTCCTTTTGGGAAAACATAAATTATGGAGTTTCTCTTGTCTAGGGTGGTTTGCATCACTGCCTTTCTCGCATTGTTCCTTGAACAAGTGCTCCTCAGTCATCTCTGCATAGGATGTAGATTTCTTCCGCAGCTCATCTATTGGTTCTACTTCCTTATGACTTAGGATTATTTTTAGCAATATGTAGGCTTTTGTTGTCCTTTTTCTTCTTTACATTACCCAATGTCTAAAGCCATTATAAAGGTGGGCACTTTCCGAAAGTTATGCAACATGGTACTTTTTTAAATCCTTATAACAACATTAATTTAAAATGAATGTTGGTTTTGTGTTTTCAAAGATTGCATAAATACCATCTGCTTGAAGATGACTTGAATGTTACGGCCTCTTTGTATCGAAGGTATCACTTGATAGTGTTGCAAATTGATTTCATAAGTGACTCTATCATGAAAGATGTTAGAGCTCCAAAGATCCTTAGGATTGCATTGTGAAATTTTTGTCTATGACATAATGTAGTTTTCCTCAGGTGTCTTTGTATTCTTATCCTATTTATTAATTTTGATTTCAGTGGTGCCTAGTTGCTCTCTTTGTTGACTGTTATACCTGTCTTAAACTTTTGGTTACCTCTTCTAGGGGCGTCCTTATTCCTTGCATTAATGATAGACCGGTTGCATCATTATATCAGAGAACTCCGGATACGAAGGAAGAGCATGGAGACTGTAAAGAAACAGGATCGAGATTTTGAGGATGTTAAAGCTAGTGGTTCAGAGGAAATTAAAGCCTTGGAGGAAGAAATAAAAACTCTGCAGGCAAAATCTAAGGAGTTGGAATCTGAACTTGAGACGAAGTTGAAAGAGAGAAATGCTGCGGAAGCCAGTGCAGTTGCTCTTAGGAAGCAATCTGAAGGATTCCTGCTTGAGTATGACCGTTTGCTTGAGGAGAACCAAATTTTACGCAGTCAGTTGCAATCTCTGGACCATAAATTGTCACGTTCATCTAGCAAAAAGAATATGTAAGGAACTAAGAACCTCTTGGACAATGTTCTGAAGTTTCAGTCATTTTCCATGGTATTTGTGCAGGAGTTCTATGGTGTTTGATGCTTGTTGGTTGTGTGGCTTTTCTGCCATTCATGCAATGTTTTTGTAAGTGAGGTGAGGGGGGTGGGACTCCTGGGAAAAAGAAGAGGAATGAGGAAGGCAGGGTTTCATCTTAAATGTTTGAGTCCTGTAGAACTTTAAGGGCTAAAGCAGAATGGAAATTTTTTGAGATGATAAACAGTAAAAGATTAGAAGGGTTTAATTGTAAAAAAATTCCTTACTGCATAATATATTTGCTTTTATGTTTCTTTCTTTCTGAATCAGTAGAACTATCTTTACAATTTGGGAAGCTATTGCACTATAAGAAACGTGGATCAATTTTGGATGCACATAAGCATTCCACCGCTACCTGTTCTGCTTATGTGCTTGGCTTAATGTTATTGGAAAAACTCATGGTGGGATCGTTTTCATTTAAAAGATTGTTGGTGTTAGCTGCAGTAAGCAGCATTAAGCCAGAGAAAACTAGAACTGAGAGTATGGATAGCACAAGCGTCAATCCAGTTGCTACAAGACCTTTCACCTCTTTGGCATATTCAGCAGAAGCTAGAGCAAGGAACGTTACTGGAAATGAGTACGCCCACCAAGCAACGTTGAATTTCCTCATAGATTTCTTGAATATACATGGCCTGCTAACCTGGCATAAAGTGAGAAACCAAATAACATTAAGATTTCACTCGTCTGCCATTGAGATGGGCATGAAAGAGAGGAGAGGAAAAGCACCAGAGACATGAAGAGAAACAGAGAGATGAAGAACAGCATCTTTGAAGCAGTGCCAAAAGACTCTGTGATGGAGTTCCAAGCTAAACTGGCCACGCTTGGAGCAGCAATGAACAAGAAGAAAGCGGGTCTCAGTATTGCAGGAAACTGATTGCTACCTGACAAACGTTGATAAAGTGTTACAAAGAGTACTAAATAATGCACCACGCCAAGAGACCACATACAAATTGCACTCTCCTTCCACCCCATCTGTGCTGCAGCTCGTGCAGCTACCAGGTTTCCGATAACAGACACTTGGCTTGTTGGATTTGCCATTACAGACAGGAAACGTTTCTCTGTCGTAAACCACTGTCCATAGATCTTTATATCAAGCATTAACAATGGAGTAATAAAGATCCAACAGAGAACCAAATAGACAACACTGTCTGAATCGATTACTGGTGAAGACTGGAGCACAAGAAGCCATGAGATCCAAGGAGCAAATAAGTAGTTCACCCCTATAGGATGCAAGAACTCTGCCCTCACCAGATGAAAGTGAAAGAAACACCTGAGGATGTAAAGAACACACAGGGAAATCTGCACTAAAATGGCAAGACACCATAGTAGGAGGCAAGCAGTAGAGGGGACCTTGCGGAATACCTCCTGAAGATCATGTGAATCCCTCCCGAGGTGGCTCAGGGTCTTCCATAGCAAAGCTTGTCCGCCAAGAGAAAGGCTTATTCTAAAATACCCTGCATGGAGCGTTGTTAAGATGGAAGATTGAGCTGGCATGTTAGCGGTAATTGAAGTGGCATGGCCATGATTTTTGAGTTGGGTGGTAATGTTGGAAGCATCAATATTGACCTGGTTTTGTGTGTTGCTATCTACTTCTCCCATTAGTGCGGGCTTTTAAGCAAATAAAAAGCACTTAGGGGAGATTATATAGAGAAAGAAGCCAAAGTGAAACTGACGTGGGAGAAGCTTTCAATAACTAAGGCTTCGTTTTGGAAATGTTGTACATAACATTTTTTTACATAGCATATTATTTAAAAATACAATTTTATTATAATTAATAAATTTAAATTAATATTTTATATATTTATGTGATAGAAAAAGATAAAAAAATCTTCTCATACAGCACAATACTCTCAAACGAAGCCTAAAGTATGTACTAAAAAAAAATACAGTTATGTGCCTTGTTTTTTACTCAATATGACAGATCTGGGAGGTAAACTTCTATTGTATTGAAGCTCTTACAAATACATTATGAAATTTGGGTATATGATGTGGTCTAAATTGTATTGAAGCTCCTACAAATACCAACAATGTGGTCACTTGAGACAAACAAACTATATATCTCTATGGTTCATATTTTCTAAGTTTGGGGATTATCAGCATCTTCAGTTCTGAATCCTTAACCAAGGTAGGTGAGGGGTTTCATTTTCTTAATCTCAATTATTTTACCTATTTTCTAGTAAGTTTTGCAGTTAGCAGAAAGGGAAAAGAGGGTTTCTGAAAACACTAGTAAACGTTGTATAGCCATTGAAAATATGCAGTGACTGGCGGAAAAGAATGATGTGGCCCTGCAAGCTGTGTGGATTCTAGCTAGATGTTTGGTGGAAAAGTAAAAAGATGCAAGCAATGGGCAAATGGACGGTCGTAATTAACTAAACAAAATTTTGCAAAAAGGACGAGATAAAGCAATGGTGTGGAGTTAATTGCACCTTCTGCTTGCTTTTCCTAGTCTTTGGTATGGAATCCAACTCATTCTTCTTCTACATTTTTGGTGGATGGGAAGTTAACTACTTGGCGTTGCTGATATTTGAACATTAAATCAAGGTTTTCAATTAGTGGTAACTAACTTGACCAAGCTCTGGTTGGTCATTCTTCAACTTAATCCTCTTTAATTTAAAAAACTAACTCTAAGAAAATGTCAGTAACACGACTCAAGTTCAACTTCAATGTTTCATTTGATGGTTGGTAGGCAAAGATCGTCTGTGTTGCTTTATCGAGACAAAGAGGACTTGGAAATGGGCAAAGAGAGAGCCAACTAGTTTTGTGGTGGAAAGTAGATTCTGCTTCCATGGAACTGAACAGAGGAGAACTAGCTTGTAACTGCGCCACTTGCCAGTATTATATTCTGAAGTAGTAGCCATGGATGAAGCACCAGTCAGGGATTGGGTTGAGGGAAATTAATCTGGCAGCCAGAATAATTAACTCTTTTTGAAGCCTGTGTTAGCCTAACTGTAGCTTTTGTAGGAGCATTGGTCGAGTAGATATTTGCAAAAGTACATAATCATGTATTCCTATGAAGTAATTGTTAGAAATTACAAAATCAATGCTACAAAAGAACTATAAAGCATACAACTTTCTTACCATTCACGCTCGAGTGGCTGCTTTAACTCGAAAAATTTTTCTTTCCTGAAACATAAAAACAGATGAAGAATCAGGCAAATAAACATTGTGATACGATAAAATAAAATCATGTTCAGACTTACTTAGTTTGGTTTGACCTAGAAAACATGCTTCTAGCAACTTCAAAAAACAGTCAGTTTGTGTTCATCTTATGAAGAGTGTTTTGTTGGCTGGGTAAATAGACCTGGACAAAAACAGGGTCAGTTTTTTGAAGAGGGTTTTTGTTAGTAGGGGTATGAGGCTACGAGCTACTTTCTGCTGGAATTCTGTACTCTTTATTTGATTCCCATTTACTGGATGACACTTTATGAGACACCTAAAACCTAGGATGAATAACAACTCTAGCCAGACACTTGAGGCCATAGAATGTGTTCGACAAAAACAGGATTGTTACTTAGATAGCAATGGATGAAGCAAATATTATATTGGAGAATGATTCAATATGGTGGAAAATCAACGTGAAATTTGTTTCTTAAGATTGGAATTTTAAGTGCTGACCTTAGAACATTCCTCAGACAACCAAAGGAGACAATGGTTACACTGCTTATGGCCACAAAGTGGCATACATCAAACAAAAATCAAACTTTTGAACAAATTTAAAGTTCAAATGAATAGAAAAGAGGAACTGAACAATTTCCCACCTGGTCCTAAAGAATTGGGTGAAAAAAAGGAGGAATTATCAATGGAAAGTGATTACCTGACTTGCATTGCAAGAGCAGTATCCAATTGTGACTCAGGCTGCGACTTGCTATCTGTCAAACACAATCTGTCATAAAATTTCAAAGTCTATTCAGTTTGACATCTTCCTGGATAATTCCAGCATGCGTTCCTCCAGCATCGAAAATTCCCTACCAATAGTCATTGCAATTGCAGTATCCGCCTCTAAAATGATGGAACCTGGTGCGATCTCGGATTATCACATCCCTATCATATACCCTAGAAAGAACCTTTGCAAAATTGTGACAATCAACACATATGCGGAGATTCTTGGCCACTCTGATTGTTGTTCCAGGTGGAGTTGCAAGAACTCCAAACGCAATAGCCAGCTTCTCACTGTGATAAGTGAGTGCATGCTCCTTTTCTTCTGCACCTAAATTGTGCAATTCTGATGATACTTCAGCAACATAACCCGCAATTTTCAACTGCTGGTTAATCTCATCCAGCATCTTATAAATCTCATCCTTTCGTGGATGTGAAAAGTCATCCACAACAAATTCATGGACTACTCCTTTAAACTCAATTGTACTACAGCCAGGAGTGGTTTGAATTCCTTTCTCCTTCATAAATTTCCTCAATTCAATCACCTTCTCCCACTTTCCAGCCGATGAATACATATTCAACAGCAAAACATAATCCCCAGCTTCTTCAGCCTTAAGTTCAATCAACTGTCTGACCACACACTCACCAAGCTTAATATCGCCATAAATTCTGCAAGCCCCAAGCAAAGTCCTCCATATTGTAGCGTCTGGCTTAACTCTCATACATACTATAAGCTGATAGGCCATATCAAGCCGACCAGCACGACCTAAAAGATCAACCATGCATCCATAATGGTGAATGTTAGGCAGTATACCAAATTCTTTGGTCATTCCATTGAAAAACTCCAGTCCTTCATCAATCAACCCACCATGACTGCAAGCACTAAGAACACCCGTAAATGTCTGGCAATCTGGGGGAATGCCCATTCTCTGCATCTCTAAAAATGCTTCAACAGCCTCCTTTCCATGGCCATTCATCGCCATACCATATATCATGGCACTCCAAGAAACTACATTTTTCTCTTGCATGCCATTAAACACCTCAAAAGCCTTATCCAAACATCCACACCGTGAATACATGGATACAAGTGAATTACACAAATTGATAGCACGGTCATATCCGTGTTCTTCAATATAACCATGGACTTTTTCACCAAACTCCAATGCCCCCAAATTGGCACAAGCTTGAAGCAGAAGCAAGCAAGTTACTTCATCAGGTTCACACTCAAATTCCTCAGTCATCATGCTATCAAACAACACCAAAACATCCCTAGTCCTACCATTACGCATATAGCAAGAAATGAGTACATTCCAAGCCACAGTGTCCCTTTGAGGCATCTCATCAAACACCTTACACGCCTCATTAAGCTTCCCACTGATGGAGTAAAAATAAATCAACGTAGTCAGTAATTGGCTATCTAATTGATGCCCATCTCTCAAAACCCTTCCATGAACTTGTAAACCCCCAATTAACAAACAAGCTTTTATGCTACACTTAATCGCAAAGGAAGATGATAACGGGTCTGCAGAAACGCCTTTTTGCCTCATTTCTCTGTATAGATAAAACCCCTCCCCTGGTGATTTGCTGAAAGAATACGCTCTTATCAGCGCATTGTAATGAGACACAGATGGGTCTGGGATTTGAGAGAGAATCCGGCGGGAATAGCCCATATCTCGGAACGGAGAGGACGAAACGCGGGACAAGAACTGGAGAGAAAAGAAGGGGTCTTGAAGGAGAGATGTACGGACGAAATGGGCGTGGATTTGGTGCAAATGGGGTTTCTCGATGCATGATTTTATTAAAGAAATCAGGTGTTGTTGCGGTATTTTTTGGAAGTTGGAGTCATGCTTTTCCTGGATTTGATCCTCGTGACGGTTCCAATCCGGTTTCTTTGTAAGAAGGTGATAGAATCGAGCGGCTGCGGCTGTTGTTGCTCCAGCCGTGAATGGAGAAACGTAGAGATGACGACGTACTTTAACTCCGGAAGTTTGAGCGGAGCCACAGGTGAAGAAGAGCGAAGGTTGAGTCATTCTTCAGCTCTGCTCTTTGAGAGGGGCGTAAAAAAAATACAACCATGTACTCTGGCAGCTCTGTAGCTGAGGAGGGAGATTAAATTGAATAATATGAAGGAACCATCATTTAGAAGGTGAAGAAGGTGGAAGAAACAACCCACGTA